AAAAAATTGCTCCCAGCCGAAACTGAAACTGAACTGAAACTGAAACCTCCCCCCCCCCCCACCCCCCTCCTCCTGGTGGAGTAGTAGTAGTAGTAGTAGTAGTCGTCGTCGTCGTCGTCTTAGTTGTAGTAGTAGTAGTAGTAGTTGTTGTTGTAGTAGTGGTAGTAGTGGTAGTAGTGGTGGTAGTGGTAGTAGTGGTGGTAGCGGTAGTGGTAGTGGTAGTCGGAGTCGGAGTCGGAGTCGGAGTCGGAGTCGTAGAAGTAGTCTCAGTTGTAGTCGTAGTCGTGGTCGTGCAGTAGTCGTAGCAAGCAGAAGCAATAGTAGAATTGCCAGTAGAGCTACTATTGCTATGAGTACGACGACGATGACGACGATCACTCCTACTCCTGCTCCTACTCGTGAACCTTCCTACCCCTACTCCTGATACTCCTACTCCTACTGCTACTCCCCCTCCGCTTTCTCCTATGCCTCCTGCTACTTCTACTCCTCCTACTCCTACTCACTACTCCCACCCCGAAACTCACCCTACTCCTTCTACTGCTACTGTTGCTACCACTAAGGTTATTTCTACGGCTTCTACTCCTTTTACTGCTACCGGTGCTGCCGCTACTGCTGTTGCTGATGTTGCTTCAACATGCTCACAGTCATGCTTCCGATCATAGCTTAGCGGTGCACTGCTTGCCGGTGCTGTTAAGGCCACCGTACGCTCCGACGCATCGGATAACTTTGCGGTTTCCTCTGACAAGCCAGTGCAACAGGAGACTGCGAGCGACGACTTGGGAGCATATCACCAAAAGGCAGATAGAGCCATCTCTGAACTGTCTTTATGCAGGTTGGGTTGGGGAGCCATGTTCGAGATTCTCCCAGATTCTTGTGCCGCCTGTCAGATAGGTCAGATAGGTGCTGCTGTGGTTGTAGCAGAGGTTTCGACGTTGTGAGATGGACAGAGGGTGACGGGTTACAGAAAGATGAAGCTTTTGTCTGGTCATCAGGCTGCCGCAGGCATTCGGCTTCAGCCATGGGTTGCCTCTTTTCGAAAAGGTCCCGAACTCTTTAAGAGCGGGACCTCTTATTATGGAAGACTGTCAAGTGCGTGATGACTGGTCACGCACGTGCTCTCCTGTGCTAAGCACGGAGCTGATTCAGTTTTTTTCGGTATGCTTCTGTGCCATGGTTGCTGTGATTGTTGTCCTTTGGGCATTCTATGCAGCGTGCTTATCCCAAATAAGCCGGCCGATGTTTCGCGTCTGGAGCTTCACACTGGCCACGCTTGGTTTCGTGCTGTGTACACCACAAGCCTTTGTCCGAATCAGCGACCCATCGCTCCTTCCCACAGAGGATGCTGTCCTTCTCACGTCTTTCGTACTTGGAGACGTGATGAACCACATAGCCCTGCTGATGATCATTTACTGGGACATTTGCAGAGAATCTGTGATGTTGATCTTCGCATTGGATCCTGCAAAGCAAACGAAGAGCTTGAGGTTGTCCTTCCGTGTCGGCTCAGGGTTCATGCTCAGCCAGGTCGCGATCCTGGGTACGTTTCTGCCGCTTATGGCGTTCTTGGAGGAGACGTCCCGCAGCCTGGCGATCAGCATCTTCTACGTCGGGCAGGTTAGGTATAGTATTATTCGGGGTACCCCTTAAAGGGTACCCCTTCTGAACCCTACTTTTGGCTCTCTTCAAAGGGACCTTATTGAGAGGGTCTATATCCCCAAGGGTCCCCCTAATCCTAACTCCCACAGGTGAGCTTTATCTTTGGATTCGCGCCCCCTGTGGCCTTTGGACTCCTCGCCAGGAGTTTGCCATAGTTGGGTAACATTTTACATTTTTAAGGGTACTTAAACCCAATAAGGAATATAAATATAAATTTTTAATACTACCCCAACCATGAACTAGAGGAGTTTGCAGAAGCTTTGGGCCGAGTTACCACCGGATCTTCCGAGAAGACTTGCCAACCGCCTGCGTTATGCCCAATGGGGCCTCTACCTGCTCTTGCTGGTATGCCTTCTTTACGCACCCTGCGGGCTCCTTCCGTGATACCCGAGCTGAACGATTTCGGTGGCTTCATCTATACATATATCGTGATGCTGGCCGCCGGCGGCGTAGTGGTACTATTGCTGGTTGCGGAGTTGACAGTGACACTACAGCAGTTGCGAAGCAAAGCTCGCCAAACACAGCCTGTTGCTGCAGATCAGATGGTCAAGGTAGCACGGGCTGGTGCTGAGAGTCTTCGATGCCGGGAGGATCGCCCAACTGGCGTATACACTCCTGTCTGGCAGCGAGGTCTTGAGCACTCGATCATTCAAGGCTTCCTGGAACTGGCTGCGGAGGGGCTCTCAGAATCCGCGATTAAGACAAATGAGGTCTGCCAGCGACATGTCAAGCCACTGACAGCTCCTGCGGGCTGCTCCGCCTGGGAGGCGCTGGGTGCAGGACCTGGGCAGATCGCTTATACTTCGGAAGGCGAAGTATTTCGGCATCTTCTTCCTATTGTTCGCTTGCCCACGAAGTGGTTGTCATAGTCTTGTAAGGCAAGGTTTGTAGGTGGGTTTGGGCACGTACATTAGCGGTGACGCACGTGACAGATGGATTCGATAGGCTGGTTGTTTTTGTAGTGGCATCCGGCAAAGTGGGAGATTCGTGGCAGCCACGGCTAGGGCCGTAAGTATCGGACTATTGCCGTTGCCTTGCCAACGTCGCTCGGTGGCTTACTTTGATACCAGGCCGATGGGAAAAGCAATCATTTTCCGAGTGCAGTCACGTTGTGTCCTTTCCTCGATGGCAGTAGCTCCTGCGAAGTACCAAAACAGCTTTGACTATCTTGAAAGCCTTTGCTGCAGGCAGTAGCTCACATGCTCTCACCTAAACTGCGAGCCTTGCCTGCCTCGTGCGAGAGTGAGAGTCGAAACGGCGAACCTCATGCCTTTTTGAGCCTTGCTCTGGTGCCTGTCACTGTTTTCTATTCCTGTTCCTTGCGAGTTTGCAGGATGGGATTCCTTGACGGTGGACGCTCATCGACACCCTCGCTCTCAGCACCTGAACACACCGACGGTCATGGTAAGCCACTGTTGGGCGAGCCCTTTTCAGGATGTCGTGAAGATCATGGGGCGCTACGATGAGAACACGAACAAGAGTAATTTCTTTTTCTTTGATGTCTTCAGTATGAACCAGCACGACCTGTCCGATCTTGCTGGACCTGATCGGAAGGACCAGCCTGGACAAGATATGTATGACGTGATGCTAGAGGCTCTGACAAACTCGATCCGCACGCCTCGTCGCGTGTTGCTGGCCCTGACGCCTCACCACGAACCGCAGCTGCTTTCAAGATCTTGGTGCTTGGGCTGCAGCAGTCGCACTCTCTGGGGCTTCAAAGTAAGGTTCAGGGCGTTTTCCACAGATTGACCTGTGCAAAAAAATAGGGGTTTGGTTCTTGGGTTGAGTCGATTCTCCAGCATTTTCAGGCCCGCCTTGTCCTGCATTTTCTCAGGTGCCTCTATGAAATTTATATGGCCTGGAAGCTGAAGGCGGAGGTCTCCTGTGGCTTTGTGCCAGCCGGAGAGCAGATGGTCATCCAAAGCTTGCAGGAGGGTGATGTTTTGATCGAGCATATGTTATCCAAAGTGGATGCTGAGAAATCGCAGGCCACTGTGGAGTCCGACCGCCTCATGATACTGGAGCTCATCCAGAAGGATGGTGTGAGCAAGTTCAACCAGTTCGTGAGGGAAAAGCTTGCGGCCTCACTTCGGGTGGTGGCGTTGACAACGATGCCAAGCACCACTTCAGCAGACCTGCTGGATTGGGCCCCGGACATGCCAGCAAGGACCATTTCTTGCGACACAAGAAGTCACTTCGCTCGGCTGATTTCCTTGGAGTCGACGGTCGATGAGAATGTGCGGCACATAAGAGAGATTTTCCGTGTTTAGTATCCGTGCGTGTATCTGTATCTCGGCAAAGACTTTTTATGATAATTCGCGCTGCTGCAAGTGGCACGAAGACTTGTGCATGCGTAGTTTGCTTGGCAGCCGCCGGAAATCCTGGCCTCTGCGAAGTCGTTGTGGCCTCAAGAATAGGGAAATGTTTTGTGCATACTTTCATGGTATATAACGACATAGTCGGTCTGATGAGCATCGTCTCCCGTGTCTGTTTTATTTCCCTCGGGCCAAGTTCCGAAAATCGTTGGTTGGAGGGTTCATTCTGTTAAACAGTCGAACTCAGCACTACACAATAGTAGATGATCGGAGATATCATCGCGTCGATTCGAAAAGCAGCCGTCGGTCTGCGCAGAAGATGTCGAGAACGAGCATGCCCACAGCATCCAGAGACAGTGATAGTGCTGCGCCTTCGCAACTTCCCGTGTGTCTGAGCAGCTGGAGCAGAGAACCCTAAACCCTAAACCCTAAACCCCTGCAGGCCCCTGCATCTCCAGCCGCAGGCGGCATTTGGACGCAGATGATCCTCACGCCTGCTCCTTAGCAGGGCATCTGCGCAGTTTCAGCCGTCATGCGAACGACATAGCAACGCAGCGTGTTCAATTTTCCCGGCCGCTCAGGGGAGCATCAGATGTCCGCCGCGGGAATATCAAGAAGCCGAGCTCTTAGACACCCGTGTAGAGCAATGCACGCAACGACCCAAGTGTGAGACACCCTCTCCCATAAGGATGATGGTAGTACCTGCAGTTGACCGCTCGCATGTAGTGGCCCGAGAAGTTATCGTACGCATCGAGACGCCTCGCCCAGATTGAAAGATGGGGCTCAGTACTTGTGTTTTTTGGGCTTGTGGTTGCTTGGGCTTTTCACAGTGGAAACTGGACCGAACACGTGCCTGCCTTGCCGAAGCCCAGAGTTTCGCTTCAGGCCATGGCCTCTCAGTCGGTCGAGGACAAATGCCCGGCCAGAACCCGAAGAGAGCCTTTCAGCTTCGGCGAAATGTCCTTTCGTAATTGGAAAGGGTCCTGGCGTTATATCCGACGACTCTATTGTGACTATAAGGGGATAATATCACTGCTTACGCTGACCTCTGCGCCCATGCTCTTGGGCTTCCCTGCGTGGAAGAGAGCAGGGCAGGGCCCGATGGGCAGCTTCAAGCCATGCCAGCAGGCAAAAGAGAGACAACCAGCTTGTTGAATGCGACAGCCGCCTCCGTTGCCGGGAGGGGCGAATGCGAGTACCAGTAGGACACAGCAACCAATGAGCAGCTTGCTTTTTAAATTTTTTGTTTCACGATGTTGCCTGGATCAGTCGCCCACAGAGACCCTGGGTGCTCAGGCTTAAGTCTTAAGTAGCCACGGAAGACAAGCTCACAGACGCAGGTAGAGACTGGAATCATATATCGAGCCCGCAGCTATCGCAAAAGTCAGTCTTAAACAGAAGACAGACAGCATGCATTACATGTTCCATGGGCTCCATCACGTGGTGCACAATATGTCGAGATGCCTTCCTTGTTCCGCTTGCTTGGGCTTTAAGGACAAGGAGCCATTCCATTCGGATAGCTTGCAGGATTGTCTGCACCAGAACTAAAAAGAACGCACCCAAAGAGTCTGAACGTTTCTTGAGCAATCCCGAGCCCCAACAAAGAAGGAGTACACGCAACTTCCAGCGGCGTTTGGCGCAGATGCAGAGACTTGGCTGAGACTTGGGTTTTTGTCAGAGATGTGTTTTTATGGGACATGGTTTCAACTTCGGCCCCTTGCGTACCCAAACGCTAGGGTAGCCTGCGCAACCCATCGTCTGCGAGCTATGACATGCTATGACCACCACGCGCGAGCTGTTGCAGCTTGCTCGCTGCAGGTAGCTCAGGTATCGTCCGGTAGCAGGAAGCGTAAGGGCACAGAAGCTGTCCCGCTAGAGTAGGGGAAGCTCCGCGGGGCAGAGGCCTCAGGGCCCCGCTGAGAACGGCAAGAATCCACGGCGACACCTCTACTGTACTGGGTTCTTGTTAAGGGATTTAATTTAAGTTACCATAATAAGGAAACCATATTATTTACTATAGATCCCTATTATGGTAACTTAAAGTAAATCCCTTAACAAGA